ATGCACAAAATAATGGAATTTCCCTATCTAATACGAATGAATCACACATACATACATACATACATACATACATACATACATACATACATACATACATACATACATACATATGTTTCTCAATAAAAAACCCAAAAAATTATCTAGCTTCCAAAGTTGAATTGTTGTTTCCTGATGATTGCCACTCCCAGACGAGTTTCATACAATGCAGGGGAAAAACATGAGATTCTTCACTGTGAAACTCATGAGCTAGTTGTGGAGCAGTTCTAGCAGGAGTCTATATGGCAGACAATTCTTAATACACAAATCATAGTGACTAATTTTATATTGATCAGGCACAGTGAATGGCACGTCCCGTAGTGTCCCAGTGTGAGAAGGGAGATTGGGATGAGCGTAACAGGGAGAAGACTTTTACTGTAGGCAGGAGTTACACGACTTCTCATGCAGTTCCCGCATGAGATCGTGGTAGACATCGCCGTTGCCGAAGATTTTGCCGCGTCGCAACCTCAGACTGCCGTCCACAAGCGCCCATGTTCTGAGACGATGTCCATTGTCCGCCTAAACGACAGGATGGGTCTGCTTCCTTGGTAGGCGACGAACAGCCAGTACGGCCGATCATGGAGGGAAGAACGAAAGTGGTAGACCACATAGGTGGCGGCGGCGAGTGAAGGAGAACCGACGAGGAAGAGGATCGGCTGCTTTGGGCCCGGGATTGATTACCATATATGATTTTGTTTTGTCAATTACCACATATGCTTTTTTTGCCAATTACCATATATGAATTGATTGCGTGGTTACGAAAGAAGAGAGGTTGATTACCATAGGCAAATTAATTGTGTTGCCAAAGATTTGACAATTACCATATATGATTTGCCAATTATCGTATATGAATTGATTGCGTGGTTACCAAAGAAGAGGCTGATTACATAGGCAAATTAATTGTGTTGCCAAAGATTAATTAGATTTGTCTGTCCGGATGAAAACTATTGTAGAAAACCAGGAGGGGGGAAAACCGGTGCATGGGAGTAAAAACAGGGAGGGGAGGGAGGAAAACCGGTGCATGGGGAGGAAAATCGGGGAGGGGTGGGACGAAGAGTGGGACGAAATTTTGACGTAAGAAGGGAAACGGAACGCTCCGTTTCTTTTAGGTAATAGAGATGGGTAGTTTCTTTTGTCGGTATGGTCTTACTTGGAGCAGGTTGTATGCGATGCGTGGTGGGTCGTTGTGATGTTGTTACACATTGCAATGTTGGTGTTCACATGTGGTGTTCTCATCAGTCTTATGTAGATGCCACGATTACCTACTAATAGGCACATACAACCAACAAAGTACACTCTTATTAATGCCCCTCCCCCAAGACCCCATCCATCATAGCTCATCATTTCTAGGAAGCTTTGTAACTTAGTAGACATCATTAACATCAAAATCCTCATTAGGGGAAAAATGTGCTTTCAAGTTCAGTCCACACTCCACCCCAATCTCTCTAATACATTTAGAACCCACTAGACCCCTCCAACTTAAAAAAATCATATCATGTAATGGTGCTCCCATGGCTACCGCAACTACACATGTGTAGCGTTGGTTGCTTGATTGAGTTTCTTCTCCACAATATTGCAAGTGTATGGTATATTATACCACTAAACCAATACAGCTAAATTATTTTTGCGGTACTGTGATGCACTTGCATTATGCTAGTTTTACCAAGTAAATGAGAAAGTCTCTTATTTAATCATGGCCCTCATACTAGTGTGAGATCCCAATGACTCAATAAAAAAGGTTACACGATAACCCCTGGGAATCCTAGCTTTATTTATTGTCCTTTTGGAGGCCTGCCAATGCTCGACAACCTTTGCTCGTAGGACTACAACATGTTATCACACCTATAGAACACAATAATCATTTAATTGTTTGTCATCAATTCCAAAACATACTTTGGGGGCATAGATGCACTTTCAAAATCAAAGGAGGCCGGAGGCACTATGCCTACATTGTTCTAGACGGCTTTGGAATTGGGGCATGAGAAGAATAGGTGGCAGCAATCTTCCAAGGGTGGGAGCATCTTGGATAGACGATGTTTTCCAGGGTGTTTAAGTCAAATATGCACAAAAGCATTGAATTTTTTTAATCTGATACAGACGATTGAGTATCACATGGTGTAGGCATTACTATCTTCATCCTCCTAGCGCATTAGGATGCAATATGAGTTCCTCGATAAGACTTGGCCATGCGAAAGAACTATTTGGGACTCCCTCTCTTTCAAACAAAAATATACTGAAGAACTGTAAGCGATGCTCGACTAGGAAGAGGCATGCCTTCGGTTATCGTGTGTTCAGAACACTTACTTAGGTTCTCACCTCTTAGGGTCAAACACTTATACCGTCTCTTTTTAATAGTTTTATGTTTAGTGTTGCCCGTAAAAATCAGTTTCATGTACTTTCATCGCTAGAGGCATGGCATCAAGAAGTGATAGTATAGAAAAAATGATGTAGGAGAAAATAGCAATTGAGCACTTTGATGACACTCATTTAAGTTTTTTTATTCATTATACTTAACCGTGAAATCTGTTCTTGTTAAAAAAATTAATGTAACTAACACTTTATGTTTGAGACTCGTGTACTTTCATCGCAGAAAGCAAGGCATCTAGAAGTGATAGTTGTGAAATATGAAATTGGAGAACATAGCATTTGAACACTCTGATGTCGTTTATTTCAATTTTTTGATTTTTTGTACTTAACAATGAAATATATTTGTTGTCAAAAAATTGGTGTAACTGATACTCTATATTTGAGACTCGTATATCTTTACCGCTAGAGGCAAGGCATCGAGAAGCGAAGTTCTAAAAGTGATAGCATGGGAAAGACGAAGTTAGAGAAGATATCATTTAAGCACCTTGATGACGATCATTTCAGCTTTTTGATCCGTTGTACTTAATCATGAAATATGTTTGTATACCTGCAAAAGGAGAAAAAAAAACATGTTAACAATGTGTTTATTTTTTTAAAGAAAAAACACTGCTGTTTCTTGAAACTTAGAAACTCGTTGGGCCGACATACAACGAGCGTCTGGGGGAGCTCATGGGCCGACCCAGCAACTCGGGTGACCGCTAAGGGCATCTCCAGCCGTTGGCCTCCTAGGAGGGACAAAAAATCGCCCCTGGAGGCGCACCGGCGCTAAACCGCGCATTGGGGGCGTGATGTCCCCCCAGTCGCGGCGCCCACGGTTAGTCAAAAAAGTCAAATACGGCGCAAAAACGACTCAAATTTAACGCAAACATTGGCGAGTTCGTTCAAACTTAAACATATTTTACAAAAAAAAGAAAAAACTACCGCGGGCTACCCCCGCCGTCTCCCTCGCCGCCCGCCTCGCCTCGCCGCCCGCCCACGCGATTCTACATGCCGAGGAGGCTGTAGAACCGCGTGTAGTCACCGTCGTCGTCGTCGTCGTCGCCCCCGCCTACGCCTCCGCCGTCCCTGCTGCATCCCTCCCCCGGTTGGCGCGGCGGGTTGGACGGTTTGGGGGCGTCGTCGTCGTCGTTGTCGAGGACCACGATGCCGTGCTCGTCCTCGCGCCCACGCTTGCGGGCGGCGATCTCCTCCAGGGCCCGGCGTTGCCGGACCATCTCGTCGCGGAGGTAGTCGTCCCGCGCCCACCGCAGGGCGTCCTCGTCGGAGAAGCCGCGCAGGGCTATCTCCTCGTACTCCGCGGGGAGGCCGGGCTCCGGCTTGGGCTCGACGAGGATGAAGCGGCCAGTGGGTGAGGAGGCGTTAGCGCCGATGCGGACGCCAGAGCTGCGGGTGCGCGCGCTGACCGGCGTGCCCTGGGGCTCCGGCTTGACGGGGCGGAGGCAGGGCGAGCCGCCGGACGAGGAGGAGGACCCCCCGGTCTCCATGCGCCTCGGGGTCCAGGAGCTTCCCCGTCGGCGTGAGAAGGAAGGGGGGGTACTCGAGGTGCGACGTGTTGCCGCCCTCGATGTACTCGAGGACGGCCTCCAACGTGCGCCCGGACACGCCCCACCACCGACGTCGGCCGGCGGCGTTGAGCCTGCCGGAGGGCTCTACGCCGTTGGTGGCCTCGAGTTGCTGGGCGTGACGGCGGCGGAAATAAGGGTCCCAGAGCGGGCTGTCGGGGACGTACCGTGGCCCCTCCCTCGCCGCACGCGGCAGGTTCGAGCGGATGCGTGCGATCTCCGCACGCCGCCCCGCGCCGGTGGGTACCGGGGGCACCGGCACGCCGCCGGCGCTGATCCTCCACGCCGCGGGCACCCGCATGTCCGGCGGGACCGGGTACTCGGCCTCGTAAAGGAGGCGAGCCTCGTCCTCGTGAAGATGGCGGCGGCCGAAGCCGTTCGCCGCCGCGCCGTCGCCTGGGAAGCGCTTGGCCATGGGTGATGAACTGGAGACGGCGAGAGAGAGGAGAGGGGGAACGACGACGGCGAGAGAGTGTGAGATCACCGAGCTCGCTGGGGCGCGTCTTATATAGACCGAGGCGCCGCCCGTACGCGTGCCCGCCGTGTGTACGTGTGGAGGGCGAGGGACGCGCGTCATCCGGCCTTCACTGCGCCGCCCGTGAGGCATCAATGGCGCAGGCTGACCGACGCGGCAGCGCGGCAGCTTTGGTATTGATTCGCCGCGGGAAACGAGGCGATGAAAACGACGAAGGGCCGAGAAGTGAGCCGTGTCGCTGACGCGGCGGGCCCGTGGCTTTTTCGCACCAAAACAGTTCGCCCGGCGCCCCCGGGCGTCCCCAGCGCGTCGGGTTCGGCCTGGGTCCGCCGGCACTGTTTTCGGTCCAGGCCGGCGAAAATCGGGTTTCTGAGGGCGCGACTGGACTGATTTTTCGGCGACGGCGCAAAAAAAACGTCTGGAAAGGTCTTCGTGGGGCGCGGCTGGAGATGCCCTAACCGGCGGGACGGCGGTCGTTTCTGACCAGGCAGACCACCAACAAATCCAGGAGCGGAGGGGCGATCAAAGGTGGGGCGGAAGCGCCGATCTCCCCCGATTCCATGAGCAGGAGCAGCGGCGGCGGCCGCGGGAGACAACAACCCGAGGCCGAATCTGCGGCCGTGCCCGTCCCGGGGCCCTGCGCCTCGACCCATCGGGCTCTCGCGGAGTGCCACCGCCGTGCCGCCCGCGGCCCGCTGCAGCCCGAGGTGCTGTGCCGGCACCTCAACCGGGCCCTGGCCGAGTGCGTGGTGAGCATGTGCTGCCCCGGCGAGACCGACGCCGTGCGCACGCTCTGCGGCAGCTCCGGCACCGCGCTCAAGCGCTCCCAGTGCGAGCGCGCGCGCATCGACCTCTCCCTCTGCCTCGAGGCCCATACATGACCTAGGCAACCCAAAACCAATGTCATCCGGTACATTCATATGCTGTTTTGTTGTATGATTTCCTGTAAATTCACTGATGTTGGAGATGTGGCCTGGTTCGGGAACACCCCTTTATGCATAGAGTGTATAGTAAGATAAGAGAGGATCCAGGGACTCTGGAGACAAGACGTGTTCTTGTTACTAAATAACTTCAATTCCAAATGCACGTTTCTAATCATGAATTACTAACTATTATCAGCTTACTGGATAATAGATTCGTTTATCTCCTTGTAACCTTGAAACAATGAATATTGTCTTTCATTTGCCCTTTCATCTCTCTCATTTTTCTGATTCATGCAGCAGTTATAGCTAGTGTTGCTGATTAGTGATTACAGTATGTGATTTAAATGTCGAAGCATGATTTCTGCTGAAATCTTACATGGCTATCTTCGGGCTTCCACATAACTGTGTTACTATGAAACCTTGTGCGGTGAAATTTTGTCCAAGTAAAAGTTTGTAGAGAAAAATATAAACATCTACAATACCAAATAAATATCAGTAGATATACTATGAAATATTTTTTAGTGTATTTATTTGATTTTTTAATAGATGTCCATGTTTTTCTATAAGCTTGGCCAAACTTCAAATAGTTTGACTTATAACAAAACATATATTTTGGGAAAGAGGCAATATGACGACAGCAGCACATTGATAGATTCTTTTTTGGGTAAAGGTTTATAGGTTTTTACTTAACTCTGATCCAATGTATGATTTATTAAAGCTAAAGCTTTCAGATCGTCAGTTGTCCCTAAAAGAAAGAACACACGAAATTTGGTTCTTTTCAACTGTGAAAAGAGAGCTCTGAGGGCCATAAGTTCACTCCAGCCTTGATAACTACCCCCTCCGTCCCATAATATAAATAGCTTGCAAAACGATCTTATATTATGGGACGGAGGGACCGAGGGAGTAGTAGTTAGTTAGTCGCCTCTATGTTAGAAATACTAAAGATATTTTACCAGTTCCATATTCTCATTTCTCATCAATATCCTTTTTGATTAATTTATTTGACACTTTGTATCATTAAATTCAACATTTCTACCACCAATAGTGTATTCAAAGCATAAACGACATCACCCATAGTAGGCTCTATCTTGGCTTTGTAGCTTCATGCACTTGAGATTTTTGGGGGTCCGTCGTGAGGGTAGTGATGTTCTGGTAACCAGTTACGAAAATTGCAAGGATGCAGCAGAAATTAGACTTTTAGAGGCAGCAATCATGACCCTGACAGCAAAAACAGGTATCTTGCATTTGCTATTCTGAGATGAACAAACAATATGTTTGCTTTTGTTGGCTGGTCATGCACCATTGAGATTATCCATGACTTGAATTCCTTATAACCATCGGCTGTGTCCAATGTCTCTAGCTGACATCGGGTGAGTGTGCGCCGGCTGGAGCTGGGTGGCACATCGCATCAGTGTCTTAGTTTCACTGCGAACTCTGCTATGAAATCCTTGGTTTGACCAAAGCTTTTACTTATGCAGAAAAGCTTACAAGGTAATTTCAATATGGAGTTCTGTACATATTTCTTCTCTGTTATTAAACTTTAAAGGCCTGTTAGTATCTTCCCCATCAAAGTATTTGTTGATCTGATGTATCTGGATGTAAACTCCGCCTATGTCTTCTAGGCATAGCCGGTCCCAAGCCCGGGTAAAGGAGGAGGGTTGTGATAGGCTTGGCGAGCCAACGTAAAAACTAGCCAGTCCCATAGGTATGAAACCCATTTGAGCGAGAATAGTACTAGGATGGGTGACCTCCTAGGAAGTCCTCGTGAAAGGGTTTCATATCAAAGGGTTGTGATAGGCTTGGCGAGCCAACCGTAAAAACTAGCCAGTCTTTTGGGTATGAAACCCATTTGGGCGAGAGTAGTACTAGGATGGGTGACCTCCTGGGAAGTCCTCATGAAAGGGTTTCATATCTAGCCTACCCCAACTTGTTTGGGATAAAAGGCTTCGTAAGTAAGTAATGTATCTGGATGTATTTAAAGCTAACCTCATATGGTGCCATGCTTGTAAAAGTTTGGTTGTTATTGGTGTGCATCGATCTGTTGAAGCAAAGTTAGATTTTGGCTGCTTCTCCGTCCATTTGTTGGCCGTGCATCTGGCCTTCTATTTCCCTAAAGCCATTTTGCTCAAAATCTGGATCCCTCGTGCCAGACCTTCGATTGTTATAATTTTGACTTCCGATATGATTTTGCGTTGTACATCCGTCCTGGCAATTGAAGCGTACCCGTTACATTTGCTATCAAGATAAATGAGTGGATGGAAAGTTTACTCCTATATATAATGCGGTCTTCCTCTTGTCAATATAATTGCACCTGTCATGGTTTGATATCAGGAGGTTTGAGTGGATGAAAAAATATTCCAAAAATCATTTCAATCAAAGGAGTTGTACGTGTTTTTAGATGAAAAAAAACTTGATAGCCAGGAAAAAACAAAATAATTTCACAAGAAGTTTAAGTGGATGGAATGTAGATGAATCCCAAGGAAAAATTCCCAAGGATTCCAATCTTGTGAATCAAACAACCAGTATAGAAAAAATCCTAAATATCCAATTCCTCAGTCATGTAGGGATTAGAATCAAAGGAGGCATGTAGGAGTTTGGTAGCACATGAAAAACAAAACAACCAATATAAAAATACTTTCTTGTCCACCTTGGGCCACATACGGGTCGTGAATACAATATTTTTCAGTCTCCCGCTCCCCAACCTAGGTGACAGGCGGCGGCTAATCTACCCTACTCCTCGGCGAATCCAAGGACCCCATCTCCCTTCGTCTGTAGCTTCGGTGTCGGGAGGAGGCGGGGACCCTAGGGCTTTGGTCTGATGGTGGTTGGGCTCAAAATAAATTTAGCGTTTTTCCATTCTATGGTGGCGAGATGATGGTGTCGCCGTTGGCATGGAATAAAGTATTCTCGCCTCGCCCTCATTCCAATGATGTTTCTTCGTGTCGTCGGGAGGCGTGTGGAAGATGATGTGTCCCTAGATTTGTTCTCCGAGTTTTTCTTTTCTGCAGGGTTTCTCGATCGTGTCTTCGTATGGAGCAAACAATGTGGATGTATGTCTTACTCCAACTCTAGTTCTAACCAGGAAGGTTGGCTAGCCTCATCAGGAAGCATATGAGATTAGGGTTCCCCGACCTCGTCTAGCCGGAATTGGGGTATTCTATAAGCTCTCTTCATCATTTTCTTCATCCAGGCAGCGATCTACTACGCAGATCATGTCTGCGCGCGTCTTCTGGTCTACATCGACAACTTTCTGGTCATTGCTTCTACAAGCTCCTGGGTTTAAATATGTTTGCTTCGTTGTAACGGAGGCCTAAAGGCGGCAACGAGCTTTGGCCCGACATGTCGTAGGTGCATGAAGGAGGAGCAAGATTTTGATGCCCTCAAAGTTTTGGATGTGTTTTTAAATTTCTGCAAGGGTATTTTTAATGTATTTGTGCTACTTTATATGTGACATTTGGTGTTTTTGCATACAAAAGCTAGATTCAACGCCAAAAATCCTATTAAATTCTGTTGAATCAAAGAAGGCCTAAAAATCCTAGTCGAAGGAGCACATATTTTTGTGGGTCAGCCTGATAAATTTTCTATTTGCCGCATAATGCGACAAACTGCCGGTGCTAGGCGAGTGGCCGAGTGACGGGTTGGCCCATTTTGCGTAGATAGATAAGGTACTACACTATTCGGTTTTTGGGAACCTATCAGAAGGTTCCTGACTAGTTTTGGGGTTCCTGTCCTTTTTTTCAATGGTTTTTCTTTTACTGTTTTCTTTTTCAAAAGTTTCCCTTTTTTAAATGTTTGGATGTTTTAAAAATGGTTACAGATTACAAAAATATTCCCTTTTAAAAATTGCTCAAGATATTGAAATAATGTTTCGAATTTTAAAAAACGTAAATTCAAAAAATGTTCACGAATTTCAAAAAATTCTTGTGTTTTTAATTTTTTTTCAGGAATTTCATAAAAATTCCCTTTTTCATAGTTTGTTTGGGAATCTTCAAAAGATGTTAGCCTTTTTTCAAGAAATCTTCTTGATTCTGGAAAAATATTTGCATTTAAAAAATGGTTTATTTTTTCAAATGATGTTCAAAAATTTGATTTTTTTTAAATTTTCACAAACTATTTGAGCTTATCAATAAACTTGAATTTAGAAAATTAATTGTTCTAAATATTTATAAATTGTTCACATTTTTCAAAAAATGTTCAATATTTGGAAAACATAGGGTTTTAAAAAATGTTCACAAGCTTGAAAAATATTTGCGTTTGAAAATGTATTCACCTTTTTCCAATGTTGATCGCATTTTTTAACAGAAATGTTAACGCCCACACGTGTGGGCGTTGACCATCTCGACCACACGCATCCATCACCGTCCAGTACTATATGCACGAATCTTGACACAATCTGGCTGATTTTCTGTATCACATAGGACAAGGCGTGTGTGTGGTGTGTGACATAGTTCGCCCACACATCCGTTTTACCATATGGAGGGGCCGGTGTGTGGGCGTTTAGCAGTTCACCCACACACCAGTTTTCAGTCACGCATAAGGGCTGGTGTGTGGGCATTTGCCATCTCGCCCACACGCCCGTCTCCTCTCCCACACGTAAGCTGCTAGTTGCCATGTGTTTTTGCAGCGCACGTGGCAACTGTCTCTAGTGTGCTTTATAAGCAGATGGCAACTCTCTTTTTTTACCCGAGTTGCCATGTGTTTTTGCAGGGTACACGGCAACTGCCTAGTGTGCACGTAAGCAGATGGCAACTGTCTTTTACCGAGTTGCCATGTGTTTTTGCATGGTACATGGCAACTGCCCTAACGTGCACGTACATGGCAACTGCCCTAACGTGCACGTAAGCAGATGGCAACTCTTCCTTTTTACATGGCAACTGCCCTAACATGCTTGTGAGCACATGGCAACTCTCTCAACCGTCTAGTGTTAGTATGTGACAACTCCTAAAGTTATGAAATCATGGCAACTACATTAGATCAGACCATACATGGCAACTACAGTTGAGCAACCATGGCAACTGCAGTTGTCCGACATGGCAACCGTAGTTCAGCGACATGGCAACTGCAGATAAACGAACATGGACGAGGGTCTGGACCATGGCAACTGCGGGCGCGCGGTGGGCGTCACGCGTCGCGTGCGGGACCAGAAGGATACGAGGCCTGACATACGGGCGTGTGGGCGTTATCAACTTCGCCCACACGCACACGTGTGAGAGGGTTCAGAAGGGAAAAAAAGATGTGTGTGGGCATTAATTGTTTTGCCCACACATAGATGTGTGGGCTGGTTGCTGTCCATGCCACACGAGGCGTGTGGCACAACTACCCAATACACCACACGTGTGACAGTTATTGGGACCCTTTTTTAAACCTACTACAGTGAACCAAACAGCAGATACGTCTACGGTGAAAAACCTGTAGACACAGTGAAATTGGTCGCTATAGTGTGCGCTACGCCATCGTGCGCGGCTCGAGATTACCTCCGTCTGGTTTTATCAATCCTTCTTGTATTTTAAGTTAAACTTTACGGAGTTGCTAAAAATCAGTCTGACTGAGATTTTGCGAAATCTCAGTCGACTGGCCAGCTGTTCGATCGATGTTTGATTGTAGATTCGCGCTGGGGCGCTTTGCCCTTTGTTTCGGCCTGTATAATACACGGACCGGCCCGTTTACTTGTCTTTCTGTTGGAGCGTTGTCTAATGCTTGGGGCCGGCCTGGATTCGTGCGAGCATGTCGCTTTTTTGTAGGCTGGGGCAAAGTGCTGGGGGTGCAGTAAATAAAGGGGGTGAAGAGGATGTGGGACTCGTGGTAATTAAGAGGAGGGGAACGGCAAGTCAGTTCATTTCTTCCTTCTCTCTCTATTCTTCTCTGTCAAATCTGAAGATCTGCAGCGGAACGAAGAAATCGATGTGCTCCTCCACGGCCAGCGAGAGAACAGGCGGTGCTGCTGATGGAATAAGTGCCACCCCCTCCTTTTCTTGTTGTTTGTTTTGTTGGCGAGATGTAGTAGATCTGAGGGGATTTTGGGTTTCATTTTTTGTTTGGATCAAGTCCAGATTAGGAGCTTGAAGCATAGAATCGCTCCCCCTTTTTAATCAAACAGTGGCATGTAGTGTGTCCTCTTTTTTGTATGATTTTTCTTTTAGACTTTTGCCGAATCCATTTTCGTGAAATCAGTAGCATGTTTGAGGATTATTACGTACTGAACCCAAACCCTCTCATATCTATTACTGAACCTATCACTAGGAGTGGCTCAGTCCCTTGTTTTGTTTTATTTTATATTTTGCTGAAACCCATTTAATCAATAGCATGTTTTTGAAATCTTTTCTCTGTATACGAGAGAGATTATTACTGAATCTATCACTAGGAGTGGGCATGTTTATTTGTTTTGTCATATTTTTTGTTGAACCCCTATTAATAAGTAGCAGTAGCATGTTTTTTCAGTTTTCTTGCTGAAACCCTATGAATCAGTACCATGTTCAATTTTTTTGTCTGGGATCAAGATAATGATTACTAAATGCATCACTAGCAGTGGTATGTCGATTTCTTCCATGTGTTCACACATTTTTTGTTTTAATTTGGTCTTTTGATAGATTCATCTTTTTATCTCTGCAACCCAATGTAAATATATTTTTGCTCATCAGCCGTCGATGCCAATGATAAATCATCATTATCTTGAAATCCTTTTTTTAAGCATGCAAGTTTCTCACTAAAATCATTAGCTGAATATGTATGCCTCGCACTAGCACAAATTTATCTTTGGCACCATTTTTATGTGCACAGGAGATGGTTTGCACAGTTTGTCTGAGCCCTTGTTGACCGCGAGAGCAGGGGAAGCGGCATCAGTATGTATGTCTGGAAGGAGTTCAAGAAGGGAGGGGGTAACTCCAGAGCCTCTGTTTCTTTTTTATTTGTCTTTTTTCATTTTCTGATCCTTGTTTCTTTTTTAGTGTGTACTCATCATCACATAATATATTGTTGAAGGTTGGCCCTTTCTTTTTTCTCCTTGAGTTTTGAAGCAGAGGGGAGCCCCTAGCTAACTAGTTGTTTACATTTAAATCATTGATTTTTTTATCTAGTGTGTTAAGTTCTTCCTGTGTGGTTAGAGAGGAAAGGACACTTACTGTCATAATAAGGATCTTTTCAGTACAAAAAAACAAGGGGTCATTTTAATAGTGTTTTGTAGCTTGGCTTACTTCCAGAAACCATGGCCATGATTTAACTAGCAGCAACTTTCTTTTGTGTTTTTATTAGTGTTTTACTAGCAACAATCTTTTTGTTAGTGTTTGTAGCTTGGCTTACTTCCAAAAACCATGTATGGTACAATTCATGGGTTACTTTTGCTAGATATTTTTGTTTTTAGTAACTGTATTTTTTACACTGATATGGCTGGTTCATGTTTAAGAGTTCAGTGTATATCTTTTTTAGCCATTTTTTACCCGTGTAGAACGTAGATTTGTAGAATTCACGGGTTGATGTTCATGTTCAACCCATGTAGGATTTTCAATCCAACAGTAGTTAAGAGAATTGGATAACACTCTTTATAGTTATCTATTTTATTATTTATCTGATTCCATGTGAATGTATAATTCAATGGGTTAATGTTCAAAGTGAACTTATTTTTTACTAGTTGATCCATGTAGGAATGTAGTTAACGTTTTCTTTTTGCTTTTTTCGGTCAAAAACAAATAGGTTGTTACATGCAATGAAAGGGTTTGTTCCGACAACCTGACGGGAGATAGGTTGACATTCAAGGCAAACAAACATACATACACTGTGAAGTGTCACAAGGGGCGCAAGCAGAGTGCATTGTATGGGAGAGGGTGGAGAAAGTTTGTTGCACACAACAAGCTGGGGAAGGGTCAGATGGTTTTGTTCTACTTGGACCAACATTCACCAAGGGCGGTTGTTTGCGTGGTCTAGTTTGGAAACACTGAAGATGTTAGGGGGAGGATCAAGTTGTTTTCTGAAACCCTAACTTTATAGTTGACTATCTTCCTCTCGCTTAGCATCAGATCCCCATTTCTCCATGCACATTACCTTTTTAAAATGTTATTTTGTAGCCATTATTTTTTAGTAAAGCATAGTTTCCATTTTGTCGATTTTTTTCCTTCAACAAGGAGTTAGACTATCAGGTCCGACTCATTGGTTTTGATTATTTCCATTCCTATTGATGGAAAAAAATGCAGTTAGGCATTAGTAATTTTTTAGGGTGACGTTAATTAGTAGTAGATGTAGTTCATCTCTTTTGCATTTTCTTGGGATAAGGTGTTAATCAGTAGTAGATGTAATCCTAGTGAACTTTTTAAATGTCATTGTCTTGTAGGGGCTTTTTTAACCACAGAATGCTTTTCTTGGAGCTAATCCTTATGTGAAAAGCATCTTCTTCCACTTTGTTAAGTCATTCGTGTGTGAGCTTTTTTTGTTTTGCATCTATTGCAACCTTAAGTCAATAGTAAAGCTCAATTTTATGTCAAGAAATGCATGCATTTTTTTGTTTTTTGTTTTTTGTTTTTGGCAGTATGATCCCTCACAGCCTTTTACTTTTCTTACTCCACCAACAGGAATGGTGTGCCCAGTTTACCACGCATACTGCCAAAATGAAAATGGTCGGAGATTCGACATCTATGTCTGTGATGCCAACGGAATCTTTCCCGTATAGTACTCCTGTCCACAATTTTCCCTTCTATTTTGTTTGTTCTGAATTTTTCTATTTTTTTACGTTTATTATTGTTCTGTTTTTCCATATCGTCCCATGCTCTGCAAGGAACAAGTTTGCTCAGTTGCCAGGCGGTTATATGAATTTCAAAGCGCACAACCGCGGGTACATTGTGGAAGTGTACAGGGGGGCACAAACTACTCGCCTTGGTGGTGATGACCGGAAGAAGTTCATTGCAGACTTCAAGCTGGGCCATCGGGAGTTGGTCCTTTTCTATATGATTGTACGGATGCCTAGGGCACTTGTCGGAGAGGGCGGCGGGGAAAGAGAGGGGGCCAATCGCATGTCCAACGGCAGTCATGCAATTGCATGTCTTCTAACTTGGTTGCAACTGAGGCTTTGTTTCGTCAAAGGGAGCATGGACAACAAGGCGAGAGGGGGGAGGGTCAGTTGCATGTCCCGCACTAGTCATGCAACTGCAAGTGTCGCCCCCGGTTGCAATTGCATGCCTTCCACCATTATTGCAATTAGGGCTTTGTTTTGTCGGAGGGGCGGTGAGGAGGGGGAGGGGTCAGTTGCATGTCCAACTACAGTCATGCAACTGCATGTCTTCCAACATACTTGCAAC